CAAGCGAGAGCGATAATCAACCACGCAGCAGCAGCCGCAGGCACCCGCCGGCTGCCGAGGCGCAGTACGTGCGCATCATCATCGCACGCCCGCGCCACACCACCACGTGCCCGCCCGTCGCGCAGCTGCCGGACGTGTCGCACAGCGCGCGCCCTAGCGCGGCACGCGAGTACACTAGCTCCGACGTAGGTAGATGCGACAGGGCCGCCGCGTCGATGCATATCGTCTCCAGCCCCGCCTCGTTCGCTTCGCCCTCTTCGCCCTCTTCGCCCTCTTCGCCCTCCTCACCTTCCTCGCCCTCTTCGCCCTCTTCACCCTCTTCACCCTCCTCACCTTCCTCGCCCTCCTCACCCTCTTCGCCTTCTTCGCCCTCCTCACCTTCCTCACCCTCCTCACCTTCCTCGCCCTCCTCACCCTCTTCGCCTTCTTCGCCCTCCTCACCTTCCTCACCCTCTTCGCCTTCTTCGCCCTCCCCACCTTCCTCGCCCTCTTCGCCTTCCTCGCCTCCAGCTTCCTCTTCTTCGCCGCCACTAGTAGTCTCCTCTTCTTCACCACCACCAGTAGTCTCCTCTTCTTCACCACCACCAGTAGTCTCCTCCTCTTCACCACCACCAGTAGTCTCCTCTTCTTCACCACCACCAGCAGTCTCCTCCTCCTCGCCACCAGTAGTCTCCTCTTCTTCGCCGCCACCGCCCTCTCCCTCCTCGCCGCCGCCGCTTTCCCCGTCGCCGTCCTCGCCGCCGGCGGGCGCGAGCGGCCCGACGCCGTCATCCGCGCCGTCCGCGACGCAGATCAGCTCCGCGAAGCGCGGCGTCTTGGCGCAGCTCTCGCCGCTGTCGCAGTCGGCCACGGTCGCGCACGTCGGCACCACCGCGGGGAAGCAGAAGCACAGCGCGTCGTCGACGCGCTGGCACAGCGTCGCCAGGTCGTCTCCGTAGCACAGCCGCGGCTCCACGCACTCGCTCGTCGACGAGCAGAACGCCAGGTTCAGCCCGGACGTCGCGCGCGACACCACCTGCAGCGGTGCCGCCAGCGCGGGGGACAGCAGCAGCAGAAGCGTCAGCGTCAGAAGCGTGAAAACCGTCTTCATGGTCGGGCGTGGGATCGGAGTGCAAGCGTCTTTTCTTCGCTGGTCGGGGGGTGAGGGATGGGTGGAGGGTGGCGTTGGAGGTCGGGCGTCCGGCCGCGTGGCGGCTTTAATAGTTATGTACGATATGTATGGTGGGTACAGCACGCATTGCGGTTTTGCCTTTTGCGCCGACGTGGATACAAGTGTGTGTACAGAAAACGTGGGAGCGTCTGTGGGAAGGGAGCGGAGCAGGCGTTCGGTCGCGAGAAGCGGAGGTGCGGCGGAGGAAGAAGGAGAGAGGGGAGCGGTGGGGAGCGGCGGGGAGGCTTGAGAAGAGGTGGGGAGAGGTGAGGAGAGGTGGAGAGGAAGGTGGGGAGGGGAACGGGTGAGGAGCGAGGGGGGGAAATCACTTGCAGGAATCTCCATATGACAACGTGTGCATCACACACACACACACACTCTCTCTCTCGAGGACGGGGGCTCCTCCAAGGAGATCACCCTTTCCCCCTACGCGCGTTCCACGCCCTCGCCAGCACCACGACCGCACGCTTCGCGACAAGGCCGCCGCCCGCGACGGCCTGCGCGGCGAGCAGCACGGCGCGGCCGCGCTCGGCCGGCACGTCGCCCTCGCCCTCGACGAGCATCTCCGCCAGCGCGACGGCGGCGCGCGCCTCGCCGCCGCTCACGCCGCGCTCGAACCAGTGCACCGCGTCGCGCGCGCTCTGCCGCGCCCCGCGCCCGTGCCGCATCATCTCGCCGAGCACCCACGCCCCCTCGCACCGCCCGCTCCGCTCCATCATCAGCCGACACAGCCGCCCCACGCGCGCGCACCGCTCCGCGTCGTCCCGCCCCTCCTCCGCCAGCACGCGCAGCATCTCAAAGTTCACCGTCACCTTCTCCAGCGCGTTCGGCACCGCCACCTCGCTCACGGCCCGCTCCAGCAGACGCGTCGCCTTCTCCGACTCGCGCGGCTCCGAGCTCATCACCAGAATCTCCGCCAGCATCACCATCGCCACCACGTGCGCTCCGCTCGTGATCCCCGACTCGCGCAGCCGCTCGGTCATCCTCTCGCCCTCATCGTATTCGTCCTCGTCATCCTCCTCCTCCTCGTCTTCCTCCCCGTCGTGTGCATCCTCGACCTTGAGTCGCGCCTGCCCCTCGTACTCTTTACGAGTCAGCGGCCGGATCCCGATGGCCAACAGCTCAGCTTCCGAGTGCTCCACTCCGATGCGGATCGCGCGTTCCAGCAACGCCACCGCGCGCGCAATGTTGCGCCGCCCGGCCTCCTCCTCTACGTGGTCCTCCTCGCACGGCACGAGGCAGCGTGCGAGGTTGATCATGGACCACAGGTGGTCGTAGTTGAGCACCATTTCCTCAAACAGACGCATGCCGCGTTTTAGGTCCACAGCCTGGTTGCCGTTGGTGCTGCCTACCGTCAGCAGGCGCGCCAGGTTGTACTTGGCGTCCACACACCCGCACTCCGCGGCGCGTTCAAACAGGTCGATGGCGCGCGCCACGTCGCGCCCGACGCCGCCGCGCCCTACCCCATAGCTGTACAGACAGCCGAGCGAGTTCATGGCCTGCCGATCGTCATATTCGGAGACGGCGCGCTCGTACAACGCGATGGCGCGCAGCGGGTCCGCCTCCAAATCGCCACGGCCTTCGACGAGCAATTCGGCCAGCATGATTAAGGCGTTGACATGCCCACTCTCCCGCACCACGTCCTCGTACAGCTCAGCGGCGCGCACGGCGTCCATGGTGATCTCCGTGGCGTGGCCGGAGAGCAGCCAGGCGATCTCCATCTTGGCCTGCACGGCGTAGTCGTCGTCCTCGACAATCTCATTCAACAAGTCCATGGCGCGATGCTCGTCGCGCACCTCATCCTCGTTCGCCAGCAGCTCGGCCAGACGCAGGACGGCCAAGTGGCTGCCGTAGCTGCCCAGATCCATGGCGCTCTCCAGGGTACGGACAGCGCGATCCACATCCCTTTCGACGTGCCCGTCCAGCAGCATCCGCGCCAGGCATATCATGGCATGGACGTCCTTCTCCTGCGCAGCGTGCTCGTACAGGGCCATGGCGCGCTCGGGATGGTAGCCCACGCCCTGGCCGCCCTTCTCCAACATGGAAGCGAGGGCGTTCATAGCCTGGGCCGAGTTTCCATCGCGGGCGGCCTCCTCCAGCAGTTCGACGGCGCCGACCATGCCCTTGGGCACGACGCCGCCGCGGCCGTCCTTGAGAATGCGGGCGAGTCGGACGATGGCGTCGGTGGAGCCCTTCCGCACGGCAAACTCGTACAAGCGGACGGCGCGCGGGATGTCTGGGAGGACGCCCTCGGCGCCGTCCTCGAGCATGCGGGCGAGCGAGGCGGCGGCGAAGCCGAAGCCCTCGGCGAGCAGGGAGCCCTCGTACAGGACGGCGGCGAGGGCCGGGTAACGGCGCACGCCGCGGCCCATCTCGACGGCCTGGGCCAGCAGGAAGCTGGAGAGGGCGCAGCCGTAGGCCGAGACGGCCTTGCGCCAGAGGAAGACGGCGCGGGCTGGGGACGGCGGGAGCGCGCCCGGCAGGCCGTCGCTGTACACTGAGGCCAGGGCGCACATGCCCGGGATTTGGCCGTTCTCGCACTCGGCGAGGAGGTACAGGGCGTCAAGCGAGGCCGGGCGCGGGTAGGGGGGCGTCACGAAGATGTGCAGGGCGAGGAGATGCATGCAGGGGGTGCCATGGTTGTGCTGGAGCGAGTGGTCGAGCAAGGAGCGGGAGGCGCGGGCGGCGAGATGGAGCTCTGTGCAGAGGGGCATATTAGGGAAGGGGCATTGGCTTGCGGAAGAGCGGCGGATGTGCGCGAGTTGATGAGGGCGGTGGCTGTGGAGGAGGAGGCGTCGGTGGGGACGAAGGGCAATGGCGGTGGAGGGTGGATTGCGATCGCACCGAGTCGTTAGTTGTGACTCTCCCTGTTCCGCCCACGTGGCCACGTGGCGTGGAACGGGGACACAATTCTTTCCTACTTATTGTAATTGATCCACAATTAAATACACTAATTCAAATATTGATAATATGAACTAAACGCAAATACTTGAACCAAACGGTCCATCAAGTCTTTTTCAACATCCGCGTAGCTCTACAGGGGGGGACTCCCATTAGAGCGTCTCCACCAATGCTGATGATAAGGTCCAATTCAATATTTGGACAAAATTTTGAGAGTGATGGCACCACACCGGCATAGAAGTTCCAATCCATTTTTTGGACTTGGATTGGACCGAAAATTTGGAGCACAAGATTTTGGTCCAAAAATGGGTTATTTGGATCAATATGAACCGCTCCAACTCGAACTGGCATGTCCAATCCAAAGCAATAATCTGAGTCGCGATTCTCCTGACAGGATCTGGATCGTCATTTCCCACAAACAATGGCTTGCCGCCAACATGATGCGAAACTGTAGTACTGTACAGTAGTGACATTTTTTCCGGAATGGGAGGGAGCCAGGCAAAAATTAAAGAGTGTACCAGTGGGGAAAGGTGCCGCCGGAGCGGGTCGGAGCGAAGTTCCATTCCAAAATAATATGGACCATCTCTTGGAGAGCTTCAAAGATTGAGTATGGTCGACCAGCAATAGCCAATCGCAGCAGTAGAAAATTTGGACCCTATCTGATTTGGACGACACCGGTGGAGACGCTCTTAGTGCCACTTTCACTAATGCCACCCTCCCACTAATGCCGGCCAGACGCACGAATACGAAAAGTGCCACGTGTCATACGGGTCCGGGTGTTATGCTGCCGTCCGTCCATTGCGCGTGAAAACATGTGAAAGCGGCTTCTAAACCCGATTCTATTCACCGAACACGTTCACAGACCTTTGCTTGTCCTCCTTATGGATCCGGTTCCGGAATAAAAAAATGCAACGCGCAAGCTCCTGACAATAGCGCAGAAGCTAGACATTGCAGATCTGCTCGACAAGGGACACTGTGCCGAAGCAATTGAGCGGCAGTTCGGCATCGCAGGGCGCACCGTGCGAGACATCAGAGCTACTGCTCCCACATTACTCCGCGTAGCCAATGAGAAGCCAAAATCACTGCAAATAAAGACCCGTCAGGCTGTGAGAGTTTTGGCGACTGAATGCCAAGTATCAGACGCTCTATCGTATCTGAGGTCGGCAAAGCGCGCGTTTCTCACTGCAAAACACGACAGAGACCCAACGCGGAGCAGGCAGACGTTGATTACCGAGTGCATGAAAATAGATGTGACGTCACCTATTAATGCCGTCTCCCAATAGTGCCAGTTTTGGGGTCTCGCACGGGGCGGCACTAATGAGTAGGGCCGCCTGTATTTGACATGCAGTTTGCCTCATTTGAGGTCAGCCACGGCCTCATACTGTATGAGGCCGCATTTTTTTGTAAAAATATATACATTAAATCGAAACTTTAAAAAGTCAGTTTGGATACCATTTCTTTAACGTATATGCCTTCGGCAATAACATCTTGCAAAACATTGGGATGGCATTTGTGAATACACAGAAAGACTAAGAATCTAGTGAATTTTCCATCTTCGGTTGATATTTTAAACAGGCCTTTCGCTTTCGAAGATATCAAGACATATCGCTTTGAGGTTGTTCAAAAAAGCTTCTTTTTTAAGTATTCTAAAAATGGCTGGAAAAGACCTGCAAATCTCACCAAACTCCACCCTTTCGCAACGCAAAAGTCAACTGCGGTGGCGAGAGTATCTTTTTCCGTCATGTTGAGCATGCGCAAGTCGAGAAAAAGTAAGTTGAAAAATGACCTCATATGAGGCCACATGTCCAAAAGACACTATGGCCTGCCTTCTCCCAAAATATTATTGCCTTCAAGCACAACTTGAAGTGCAGATCCTTTTTTTAGACTTCCGGCGACTCATTTCCACAGATATCTTTGACCTTTGAGATTTCTTGATCTTCCAGAGTCCTCGACTGAACGGTAGAACGCGCAGAAGATAGAATTGTTGCGGAAAGAAAGCTGAAGAGTGACTTCATAATAGGCAAGCGGTCACTTCGACATGACCGTCGCCTTTGTCCTAAGCCTTCATTAGCCACGTCACCGATTTCTGACTTCGGCCTCATTCGGTACTGTTTCGAACGATTGTGTGAGGAGCTACTCGTAGACTTTCGTGTGTTGTGAAGAGTTGCAGGAAGTGGTTGCGAAGCTGACGATTGCAGGATGCAACGTCAGCAAGTCTAGGGCGCGGAAACTACAATGCTTGCCATTGGACATGTAAAATGTCGCCAACATTTAATGTTGAACAAATGATGGCCCACTTTCCGTTTGTCCCGCACAGTCAATTCAGACGCCGTTCATAGTCGTATGTGGCAACTCTCATTTCTTCTAGAAACCGGTACGGAGACACATATGCGCGCCACTGTCCCAGTCTGCATGTCCGAGCCTGGTCAACGAGGTGCACCACCGTTTCTATCTGGCGGAGCCAAGCTCTGGCTACCACCACAACTATCGTATGTACGCTTGAGCCCGATCACGGCAGAGTCGCTCGTCACCTCACTCATCTACTACCAATCGCAGGATAGCCTTCGGACACGCATTCTTCACATTCCGTTCTCAACATGTCCAACTTTGTGCGCATGCAACCTTTCATGACTACAAATCAAACCCACTACCTTGTCAAATTGCAACCGTTTCTTTTCTAGTCTCGCTGATTTGCAACCATCGACAAAGCGTCATTCGCACTTCCGCATCAGAGCATCCGCATCAGAGCGTCAGAGCTCCCGACTTTCTCCACAAGAAGCACCCCGCTCCCTATATAAACCCTTCCTCTCTCACTGCCTCCGCTATCTTGCCATCCACACCCCCTCATCAGCATCTACCTCACCAGAATCAACCACTCTACAATCCACCAGCACTCAGCCATGTTTCGCTTCCAAGTCGCCGCCCTGCTTCTCGCCCTGTTCACCCTGTCTGCCGCGCAGCACGTTGCAGAGGACGTGCTCAACGCGCCTTTGGGCCCCGTCGCGCGTTCTGGGTGCACGACTGGATACTGCGGCCACGGGGAGTACTGCTGCTCGGGTTACTACTGTGGCTCCGACTACTACTGCAAGTCCAGCTGCGACCATCGCCCGTGTGGAAAGTGCTGCTACGGATACATCTGCAAGTATAGCCGCTGCGTGAAGCATTGAGAAAGATGTAGAGCTGCTGGTGAGGCGGAGGTGCAGGAGGCGCAGCGATCCGGCTGGTGATTGAGGCGCCTATGGAGGCCTTTGGATAGGGTTTGTAGTTAGCGGCTTTAGACTTTCCTTCCCTTGTTGTCGCTTGTCCCTTTGCGGTGTACACGTGCCAGCTTGTGCCAGTAGATGAGGTGCAAGCGTCTACCGTGTATGCTGTCCCATGTAAACCCTACTTCCAACAATGGCGCCCTTTACACGAGATGCACTCTCGCCTCGCGATAGCCTGTCTCTTTTCGCCCAGCTGATTCGCGGTGCCACGCCTGGCAAAACAGTCATTCGCGCCCCGCTTTCGGTGATGGGAGATCAAAACGCGCGGAGAAGAAGCAAATCGAGCCTATAAAACCCCGCCTGCCGCTGCCATCACCGGCGCCGCCATCACTGGCGCTTCTTTCGCACCGCACCCACCATGGCCGCCTCTCACCGCTTCCTGGTCGCCGCCCTTCTGCTCGCGCTGAGCTGCTTCGCCGCCGCACAGCAGAGTGCCCGCGATACACTCTCCCTCGCCTCGGCGACCGTGTCCCGCGAGACCGAGTGCACTACTGGCTACTGCGGCCACGCCGCGCCGTGCTGCCCGGGCTACTTCTGCGGCCCCGAAGTTGAGTGCGTCCTCAAGTGCAACCGGCGGCCGTGCGGAGACTGTTGCTACGGATGGTACTGCAGCGGAAGCCGATGCACGAACAAGTGCCGCAGGGATTATTGCGGGCATGGCGAGTTTGAGTGCTGCCCAGGGTTCTATTGCGAGTATACAGGCAAGTGTTTGAAGAAGTGCTCCAAGGGCAGGTGCGGACGGGGAAGTGGCAAGAAGTGCTGTGAAGGGTGGAGGTGCAAGGGGAAGAGGTGCCGCAGGGTTTGAGTGGGCGGTGCGTGTAGGCTTCGTTTTCTCGTGGCTGCGCGTCGTGTCCTTACGTGGTAGTTTTAGTATATGAAATTGCGTACTTGTCTACTAAATGTGAGTGGATGCTCTGGGCAAACAGGGTCTTGCTTCGACAGCCTAGGGATTGCTCTCGGTCGCGTGTTGCAGGTCAATGAAGGAACTGGTGAACCGCAAATTGTTTGGCGGGTGCAACATGCGGGTTCAGCACGCATGCAACTGCGGGCTGCTGTCACGATTCTGCTTGCTTATCAGTTCGGTCAACAGGTGTAAAGGGCTCCGGTCGCATGAGGGACGCTCTTACGGTTCATCTGGAGGCAAAGTTGCGCGTTGACACTGTTCCAGAAAGAAGTTAGAATACAAGAGCTCTGCCCATCAAGTCGGGCGTCCAGCAGCTACGGTATACCGTAGCATGGTCAGGCTCTCTTCGCAGAATTGAATTGTACGCGTGGAAGGGTTTGTCGCTCGGTTGCGAATTTGCTCAGGTTATGAAAACTGTAAAGTGTTGGTAGCGTCCCTGACAATAATTTTAGTCGTACATGCCTTGCATTGTTGTCCAGTCGCATTAGTTTATCTGTTGTGGACCAATGCAGTTGCAGCGTTCATTGCGTTTCTCATGTCAGGTTTCTATTAGGGCGGGTTTGTGCTTAAAGGAACCGCAGCTCGCCTTGCGTGATTCTAGTCTTTCTCAAGAGCACAGGAACAGAGGGCGTGTCTTAACAGGCTGGTTTTTGCTTTGCCTTGCCCGGTTTTGCCAGGAATACTTTTAAATTCTTAACAAATACCGTATGCTTCTTAAAAGCCCTTGCTTTTCTTAAACACATAAATTAAAACGTAGGAGCCACTCATAGCACGCCAAATCACTTCTTTGGGCAAAGCAAAGCAAACCGCAGCAAAACGGGGCATGTTAAGACACACCCAGAGTTAGCCGTCGCCTCGCGCAATGAATACGTGTCATGCGTGGACACGAGAACTGAGTCTTATGATCGGGTTTATATCAGCCAAGATCAAAGACTATCCGCAAGAGGTGTAAGCAAGTAATAAGAACCTCTGGCGAAAATACACTTTTTCCCTGGACAGAGTGTCCTAATCTGAGCGAAGCATGTTCGGTGCTCTGATCGTTGAGAAAGGCATGCAAGGCTAAAGTATCTTACGGTAGTATGGTACCTGAGCGTATCGGTACTAGGTGGTAAGAGTGAGGCTTAGGTACCACAGACACTTTTAAACAGGGCTTGGCCAAGGCTAGCATTTTATGTGCCCCAAAACCAACCATCACCGCGGTGCAACCTCCCCAAGTCAGCAACTGATATGACTTTGACACTCACTGTCGCCTGTAATAAATCATAAGCGTGTGGCAAAGGGTTGCACAGTTGCTTGCGCATGGCGAAGAAATCGCAGGCACATCACGTCCTCAGCGTTTTACGTTCCACTTGAGCAGGAGAAAATGAAAAAAAGAAGGCGTTATGGAACGTGTCTATCGCCATGAACTTCAACACAACCGATGTTTTAGCATTGTTTAGGCGTCGCCTCCTTTGCGGTTGAGATGCGGCAATGATTTGCACCAATATCAAAAGATCCACAATTTTTAAAAATTGTGGTTTAAATTCCTAATATCGTGTAATCGTCAAGGAAAATGTGAAAATCCCTTTAGGATACTGTAGCAAGCGAGAGGATTGCTGCTTTCTACTTCCTTACGGGTACATTTAATGACAGGGTCGCCCTTTATACGGGGTGAGAGCAAAACTCAAGAAGGGTTTTGCTTTCCCCCCCGCATAGAGGCGCGTCAAATACTCCGCAAACCCTCCTGCCGCTTTGAGTGTATTATGCATCCCCGGCGGTGCTCAAATCCTGTGAAAAGCAACAAGCTGGTAGTGGCAAAGTATAAGTAGGCGCACGTGATTAATCCTGCCGTGGCAGCCCCGACTCGAGTGAATACCGCATGGCTGGAGGCAACGTCGTAAAAGCTGGTCCCTATTGGTGCAACTGCTGCGAAAGCCCTGGTTCGGACCACTTGTCTTTCAACGGGACCGTCTGCAACGCGTAGTCGTCAGTTAGAGGCAGCGTCTACAAAGTCGACGACTGCTGCGATTGTGCAGTCCCGTCCCATAGCCTGCCGGCAGGAGCTGTACTGGGCTCGGAGTCTGGCAGCGCACTTGCCGCTTCTATCTCTGTCACCACTTGCGTGCAACCACACACGTTTGTAAAGGAGTCAAAGCCCTGCACCGGGATATCTCTATCTCGTCCGATGAAGCCGGTGTGCGCACCGCCCGCACCGCAGCGCCATTTGCGCAAGGGAAGCTCCATCACTTCTTCGCGATTCGAGTTTTCTTCCAGAGGGTTGGAAGTCGTGTCGTGCCCCAGTGCTTCCTTGATGATGTGGAATCCGGCGTCGAAAGCATTTCCCCGCCTGGATGTGTAAATGCTGACGAGTACGTTGATGACGACCCATACGACGAGAATGATGGCGAGTGGAAGGATGCTGACAATCGGCCGCGTTACTACGATGTCAATTGGACATGTAGCCGTATCGCGCACTTCGTCGGTGAGGGGATTCAACTCCAACCGATTATCCTTTTCGCCTTGCCCAAGCTTCTGTAACGTCATTGAGCCTGTGACATACGCTTGGACCCTTGCTATGAGACTGAGGGGATCAAAATCGCAATCCAGTAGCTGCCCTTTCCCTTTTCCACCGTATGCAAACTCTATCTCTCCGGTGGTAACCATGATGTTGCACTCTTGTCCTGTCTCTAAACGGAGTGCGTTGGCAATGACTTGGAGATGAACATCAGAATCGATCTTCTCAGGATTTGTGAAGATGAGCGACGTGTCGTTCTCTCTTTGCCGTCTGTTCTGAACCCACTGGATGTAAAATTCACTTGACGCAATCTCTCCCCTACTACTCATTATCGTCTTTAGACGACCCTTGTGGCCAGCTATTGAAAGAATTGTGCTTTGACCTTCCCCGTCAGGAGCAGAATCAAACCAGATCTCCGCTAGGCAAGAACAGTACAACACAAAGGACCTGACCTCGCCCAATGTAGTTGTCAGCGGAATTTCGACGCAAGCCCTATTTAAATCTGGAGCCGGCGTTCGAACGTTAGGGTCCATGTGGACTCGAAAGTCGCCCTTCTCACACCCACTCAGGCGCTTTTCACTAGGGATGGAGATGGCAACAGATGTAATGGCAGTAACCAAAATGAAGAGCCTCGCCAGAAGGGGGAGGACAAGCCTGCGGAGTTGGATTTCATTCCTGTAACGTGTGCAGCCCTTTTCCTTGTACGGGTACCTGTGCGAAATCCAGGAGAGAATGCTGATGGGGTCGTCGCTGTTGACAAAGATAAAGGAGCGGACCCAGGAGGAGTACTCGAAGCTTTTTTCGCGGGAGCTGAAGATGAGCTTGGAGGTGACTGACAAGATGTTGGAGATGATGAAGACGGTGAGCAATGATATGGTGAGGGCATTGACGACGTCGCTGGACGTTTGAAGAGTAGAAAAGCTGAAATCGGGCGTGACGTTCAACTGCTGGAGAAGAGTCATGGCTGGCGTAAGGGAGGGGCTAACAAGAAAGGATGAATTGAAACGTGGGGAGGAGGAAAGGATCGTTTCGAAGAGGTGCTTCCTTCGCAAAGTACAGGGCAGGGGGACTTGTGAAGCAAAGTACAGTACTTTGTTTTATAAGGGTAAAGCTACCGGTATATTTACTGCACAGGTGCTTTGGTTTCTTGCATGGGAAGTGGAGGCTTCTCTCGTCGTTTGAGGCGGTATGCGGGCCGGCAGGTTCTGAAGAGTCGTCGCGGTGAGAGAGCGTTGATTCTGGGACAGTTTAGTGACATACAGCATGAAGGCGGTGTCGCCTTCACGCTGCTGTTGTCGGCAACAGTGTACTGTATTAGACGGCAACAATGCGCCGGTGTCGCTTAATCCGGTACAGTAGTTGGACGCATCTGTATGTCGGTCTCTCGTGTCTATCCGACTGGGGGGGCTTGTCCTCATAAATGCAAATGAGAACAGCTCTTTTTGTTGCACGTACAGTAGTGAGTTTTGCGCTTCCATGAGCAAAAAGGGCCAAGTTCTGTGAAAAGTTCTGAATTTCTGCATCTATGTAGCAACGAATTATGACAATCAGTGCTCACCTTGCGCAATTGCTCAGTCTTTACACACAGTAATTGGTTAATCACATTGTAATTGTCGTGCTCTAATTCTGGCAGGTCACACCCGTCGCGCTACGGGCGACTCATAGTCACGCACTTGGCGACGGCGTGTGGAGGGTTTATTTAACAAACACCGGTAACTTTACAGTAACCTGCCTCCTACCTCGCTGACCCCCTGGGCAGTCAATCGCTTCTTATCCCCCCCACTGCCCAGCCCGACCTCGACTGCTGGCGGAAAATGTCTCAACAGGCAAGTGCGGTCACAAGCGTCGCAATTACTTGTAGCAAACGCTTCTAGCAAACGCTTCTTTGGTAAAAGCACGGATTCGTAGTTGTTTAATCGCGATCTCTACACTCTTTTGTCGAAAAGGCTTGTTAACGGCACGACGCAGTGCCCGTTTGATCCGTGAACAAAAAAGATATGATAAGCAAATGCAATCTTAGCGTTGCCAACAACAGCAATGCAATTCTTTGCGAAAACGAATACTGTACCGTTGGTACTGCATACCCTTCCCATTGGCCTATTCTGTGACACATCTCAAATTGTAACACTCGTTTTGGCGTGACCGGGAGCACCATGGAGAGGCTCTCCGCTTGAAAAACTACAGCCGGTCCACTTCTACACTCTTTCTTTATTCGTGCATCCATCTTTCCTCTATGTCCTCCGCTTTGCCTCCGTTTGCGTGCAAAAATGCAACACCACCGTTAGCGGCAAGAAAAAAGGGGGATCCATCGCACAAGCAGACAAAAAAACCTTGGAGCTTGTGTATCGGCTATACTTTTGAAACGTGCTGTATGCGAAACGCTTTTTCCAGTTTTGACGTCATCCACTCTATCCTAGTACTGTACCCAGATGCCGTCGAGGTCTCGAGTCTCCTCGTTCAGTTGTTGAGCGCCCGTCATGCAATCCTGCATCCACAGGAGGAAGCGAGGGTGAATTGTTGCTTCAGACTGTATGTCGCCAAACAGTTGCAAAATCAAGACCCCGTCACGATGAAAAGCCTCCTGTCACATCCGGCCTGTCTGGCATACCGCGCAAAGTCCCAGGACGAACGTCATCAGCTCCTTGTGGCAAACATATTTGCTTCACACGCCCTTCTCTCTCTCTTTCTACATCCTCAACATCCCGCCGCCATGACTCTTCTTCAGCAATTGAACGTCACGCCCGATTTCAGCTTTTCTACTTTTCAAACGTCCAGCGACATTGTCAATGCCCTCACCATATCATTGCTCACCGTCTTCATCATCTCCAACATCTTGTCAGTCACCTCCAAGCTCATCTTCAGCTCCCGTGAAAAGAGCTTCGAGTACTCCTCCTGGGTCCGTTCCTTTATCTTTGTCAACAGCGACGACCCCATCAGCATTCTCTCCTGGATTTCGCACAGGTACTCGTACAAGGAAAAGGGCTGCACACGTTACAGGAACGAAATCCAACTCCGCAGGCTTGTCCTCCCCCTTCTGGCGAGGCTCTTCATTTTGGTTACTGCCATCACATCTGTCGCCATCTCCATCCCGAGTGAAAAGCGTCTGAGTGGGTGTGAGAAGGGCGACTTTCGAATCCGAATGGACCCTAGCGTTCGAACGCGGGCTCCGGATTTAAATAGGGTTTGCGCCGAAATTCCGCTGACAACTACATTGGGCAAAGTCAGATCTCATGTGTCGTACTGTTCTTGCTTGGTGGAGTTTGGATTTCAAACTGCTGAAGGGGAAGGTCAAAGCGTAATTTATTCAATAATAGATAAGACTCGACTTTGGACTGCAATAAGCAGCAGGAATAAGATTACCGGGAGTACCTTCTACATTCAGTGGGTCAAGGACAGACGGCAACAAGAAAACGACACATCGCTCCTCTTCACAAATTTGCATAAGATCGATTCTGATGTTCATCTCCAAGTCATTGCTAAGGCACTCCGTTCAGAGACAGGACAAGAGTGCAACACCATGGTTACCACCGCAGAGGAAGAGCCTGAAGACGGCAGAAAATCGAAAGGGCAGCTACTGGATTGCGACTTTGATCCCCACAGTCTCATATCAAGGATCCAAGCGTATGTCACAGGCTCATTGACGTTACAGAAGCTTGGGCGAGGCGAAAGGGCTAATCGGGTGGTGTTGAATCCCCTCACCCTCAAAGTGCGCGAGACGGCTACATGTCCAATTGAAATCGTGGTAACGCGGCCGATTGTCAACATCCTTCCGCTCGCCCTCATGCTCGTCTTGTGGGTCGTCATCAACGTACTCGTCAGCATTTACACGTCTAGGCGCGGAAACGCTTTCGACATGGGCTTCCACATCATCAAAGAGGCACTGGGGCATGACACGACTTCCAACCCTCTGGAAGAAAACTCGAATCGCGAAGAAGTGATGGAGCTTCCCTTGCGCAAATGGCGCTGTGGCGCGGGCGGTGCGCACACCGGCTTCATCGGACGAGATGGAGATATCCCAGTGCAGGGTTTTGACTCCTCTACAAACGTGTGTGGTTGCACGCGAGTGGTGACGGAGATAGAAGCAGCGAGTGCGCTGCCAGAGTCTGTGCCTGGTATGGCGGCTCCTGCTGGCAGGCTATGGCACGGGACTGGACAACCGCAGCAGGCGTTGACATTGTCGACGCTGCCCCTGACTGACGACTTCGCGTCGCTGTTGTGAAATCTAAGGGGGGAAGATACAAAAGGTAGTCTTCTAGTGGGTGTGACGGTATCCAAAGGATAGATGGTTCGCGCAGAGGCGCGGGAGGTCTCGCGTACGGACGCCGAAACAAATTATTGCCAATGAATTTGTGAATACTCACAGTCAGTCTGCTTTTAATTCTATCGTCTTCCTCCTCCTCCTCTTGTCCTCGCTCTATGAAGCGGTGAAGTATATGTACCTGTGAGTAACGTGAAGGGATAATTTCGGTTCTGTCGCGAATGCAACGCGGAGAATTGCATTCACCCCATATCTAAAAGGGCTGCATTCGCTCTTTGAGGTATTTCCTGCCAGCTCTCTTCTCATACCGTGTGTTTCTCCCCTGATTATTGATAATGCTGATATCACTTCCACACCTGTTCTGCCTGTCAACGTTTCCCATTTGTCCACGTGTGTCCGTTATGAGCACACACGAGTGTTGCCGACTGAGGGCCGTTCCTAACGACGAGCACGGTGTGCTAGCACGCAAGCACCCTGACATTTGGATTGGTTGAACGGGAGTAAAAGCATTTCCAATAATTTTTTCAACCAATACATTCATGCCAAGTTTCAGGGTGCTAGCGTGCTAGCACACCGTGCTCGTCGTTAGGAACGGCCCTGATGCAGTCATTGGCAACAATCACATGCGTTTCTCTACACGTCGCAGACGGTCCCGTTGAGCAGCACATGGTCCGGATCAGGACCGAAACAGCAGTCGCGCGAACGGTGCCAGCTTTTACGACGTTGCTTCCTGTCATGAAGTATGCACCTGAGTCGGCGGCGCCGCGGCAGCAGTAGGCACCCGCGCCGGCTCGTGCTTTGGCACCATGGGGGTTTTAATTAGACTTTTACTACAGCCCATGATCTGGTTTGCTGGAAATCCTAAAAGACTTCATAACTGGGTCTTCCGTTGCAGCGGAGTAAATTAAATGAACGTGATCTTGCTGCGCACTGCCCTCAGGGGGCATTGTTGTGTATCCCCTGCAGTGCTTAAAATCACGTTCAAGTTACAGGCCGTTGGTGCTAAACTTCAAGTCGGCGCGCGTAGCTACTTATGCTGCGGCGGCTCCGACTCTGGTGAATTCTGCATGGCGGGAGGCAGCGCCCTAAAAGCGGGCCCCGGTTCGCGCGACTGCTGCGACAGTCCTGATCTGGACCACGTGTGGCTCACCGGGGCCGTCTGCATCTCGTTATCGTCAGCCTGCTGCTGCACTTGTCATTGCGCAGCCCCGTCCCATAGCCTGCCAGCAGGAGCCCCCGTACCAGGCACAGACTCTGCCAGCGCACTCGCTGCTTCTATCTCCGTCACCACTTGCGTGCAACCACACACGTTTGTAGAGGAGTCAAAGCCCTGCACTGGGACATCTCCATCTCGTCCGATGAAGCCTTCATGCGCACCGCCCGCGCCGCAGCGCCATTTGCGCAAGGGTAGTTCCATCGCCTCTCCGCGATTCGAGTTTTCTTCCAGAGGGTTGGAAGTCGTGTCGTGCCCCAGTGCTTCCTTGATGACATGGAAGCCCATGTCGAAAGCGTTTCCCCGCCTAGACGTGTAAATGCTGACGAGTACGTTAATGACGACCCACACGACGAGCATGAGGGCGAGCGGAATGATGCTGGCAATCGGGCGACTTACAACAACGTCAATTGGACATGCAGCCGTTTCACGCACTTCGCCGGTGAGGGGATTCAACTCCAACCGATTATCCCTTTCGCCTCGTCCAAGCTTCTGTAACGTCAATGAGCCTGTGACATACGCTTGGATCCTTGATATGAGACTGTGGGGATCAAAGTCGCAATCCAGTAGCTGCGCTTTCGATTTTCTGCCGTCTTCAGACTCTTCTCCTGCGGTGGTAACCATGGTGTTGCACTGTTGTCCTGTCTCTGAACGGAGTGCCTTAGCAATGACTTGGAGATGAACATCAGAATCGATCTTATGCAAATTTGTGAAGAGGAGCGATGTGTCGTTCTCTTGTTGCCGTCTGTCCTTGACCCACTGAATGTAGAAGGTACTCCCGGTAATCTTATTCTTGCTGCTTACTGCAGTCCAAAGTCGAGTCTTATCTATTATTGAATAAATTACGCTTTGACCTTCCCCTTCAGCAGTTTGAAATCCAAACTCCACCAAGCAAGAACAGTACGACACATGAGATCTGACTTCGCCCAATGTAGTTGTCAGCGGAATTTCAGCGCAAATCCTATTTAAATCTGGAGCCCGCGTTCGAACGTTAGGGTCCATTTGGATTCGAAAGTCGCCCTTCTCACACCCACTCAGACGCTTTTCACTAGGGATGGAGATGGCAACAGATGTGATGGCAGTAACCAAAATGAAGAGCCTCGCCAGAAGGGGGAGGACAAGCCTGCGGAGTTGGATTTCGTTCCTGTAACGTGTGCAGCCCTTCTCCTTGTACGAGTACCTGTGCGAAATCCAGGAGAGAATGCGGATAGGGTCGTCGCTGCTCACAAAGATGAACGAGCGGATCCAAGAGGAATATTCGAAGCTCTTTTCCCGGGAGCTGAAGATGAGCTTGGAAGTGACTGACAGGATGTTGGAGATGATGAAGACAGTGAGCAGTGATATGATGAGGCCATTGACATTGTCGCTGGACGTTTGAACAGTGGAAAAGCTAAACTCAGGCGTGACGTCTAACTGCTGGAGAAGTGTCATGGCTGCGTAAGGGAGGGGCGAACAAGAAGGATAGATTGAAACGAGGGGAGAGGGAAGGGAATGTTTCGAAGAGCTGCGTTCTTCGCAAAACACAGGACAGGGCGGCTTGTGAAGCAAGTTACTGCATAGTAAGCTTGTTTCTTCTAGGGAAAGTGGAGGGCCATCTCGGCGTTTGAGACGGTATCCGCACCGGCAGGTTCTGAAGAGCGTCAGAGCCATTCGTCACTGTGAGTGCATGTTGATTCGCGACACTTTGGTGACATACAGCGTGAAGACGACAGCAATGTAGTAGACGGCAGCAATGCGTCGCTCTCGCTTCATCCATGTGATTGATGCCAAGAACGCTCGATGCCTCCTTCCTCTATCGGTGGGGGAAGCGACGAAGGCTTTATTGGGATGTCGAGGAAAGGTGCCCTAATGGCAGTGCCCTAATTGTAGTGCTGTGTTGTATGGGTGGATGCATGACAAGAGAAGCTTGCTGTCTGTACAATGCACAGCATAGATATATTCTGTAGATAAGCAGCAAGTGTACTGGTGTATAGGGGTCATGTCACGCGGGCTGCGCACTCCTGAAATTCTAAATCGCATTTATGACGCAGCCAACTTCGCCTACATGCAGAAGGATGATCTCTCGACAAAGTACGTAGTCTTGAGACCTCAAGACTACCACTTCCCTGAGCACTCTAGTGTGATAGATCTATCAACCTAACGTTATCATAACCTAAAAGTCTGCGAATTTTATTTCTTTTCAATTTTGATGTCATCCACGGTTTCAATTTTTCTTTTGGGAGGTTTCAACCACCAAATTTTGCCAAACAGATTAGCCCTTGTGGTGTTCAAAGCTCACTATTTGAATTTTGAATTTTCACTTTTTGATCATCAAGTGGCCACAAACAGACTCTGTATATTGAGCCGGTGGTGCCAAAGCACGAAGTCGGCACCTTGGCTACTCCTGCCCCGGCCGCCCCGACTCTGGTGAATGTTGCATGGCTGGAGGCAGCGTCATAAAAGCTGGTCCCGGTTGGGGCAACCGCCGCGGCAGCCCGGACGCAGACCACGAGCTGCTCACCGCGGCCGTCTGCGATGCAAAGTTGTCAGTCGGGGCCGCCGATGATAAAGTCGACGCCTGTCCTTGCAACCGCGGATGCACATCCCCACGCCACAGCTCGTCGGCCGGAGCCATCGTGCCAGGCGCGGAGTCTGGCAGCGCACTCGCTGCTTCTATCTCCGTCACCACTTGCGTGCAACCACACACGTTTGTAGAGGAGTCAAAGCCCTGCACTGGGACATCTCCATCTCGTCCGATGAAGCCTTCATGCGCGCCGCCCGCGCCGCAGCGCCATTTGCGCAAGGGCAGTTCCATCGCCTCTCCGCGATTCGAGTTTTCTTCCAGAGGGTTGGAAGTCGTGTCGTGCCCCAGTGCTTCCTTGATGACATGGAAGCCCATGTCGAAAGCGTTTCCCCGCCTAGACGTGTAAATGCTAACGAGTACGTTGATGATACCCCACAAGACGAGCATGAGGGCGAGCGGGAGGATGTTGACGATCGGGCGACTGACAACGACGTCAATTGGACATGTAGCCGTTTCACGCACTTCGCCGGTGAGGGGATTCAACTCCAACCGATTGTCCATTTCGCCACGACGAAGCTTGTTCAAAGTCAATGAGCCTGTGACATACGCTTGGATCCTTGCTATGAGACTGTGGGGGTCAAAATCGCAATCCAGTAGCTGCCATTTCGTGTTAGTGCCGCCCTCCTCCAACTTTTCGCCAGCAACTATAGTGTTGCACTGCTGTCCTGTCTCTAAACGGAGTGCGTTGGCAATGACATGGAGATGATCATCAGAATCGATCTTACGCAAATTTGTGAAGAGGAGCGATGTGTCTTTCCCTCTTTGCCGTCTGTCCTTGACCCACTGGATGTAGAACGCACTCGCCGCTGTCTTTTTCCTGCTCCTCAATGCCGTCCATAGTTGACCCGGCTCTATGGTGAATGAAACTAGTAAGCCTTGGCCTTCCGGTAAAGTGAGGTTAGATCCAAACACAACCAAGCAAGAACAGTACGACACATGAGATCTGACTTCGCCCAATGTAGTTGTCAGCGGAATTTCAGCGCAAATCCTATTTAAATCCGGAGCCGGGTCTCGAAAGTTAGGGTCCATTTCGATTCGAAAGTCGCCCTTCTCACACCCACTCAGACGCTTTTCACTAGGGATGGAGATGGCAACAGATGTGATGGCAGTAACCAAAATGAAGAGCCTCGCCAGAAGGGGGAGGACAAGCCTGCGGAGTCGGATTTCGTTCCTGTAACGTGTGCAGCCCTTCTCCTTGTACGAGTACCTGTGCGAAATCCAGGAGAGAATGCTGATGGGGTCGTCGCTGTTGACAAAGATGAAGGAACGGACCCAGGAGAGGTACTCGAAGCTTTTTTCGCGGGAGCTGAAGATGAGCTTGGCGGTGACTGACAGGATGTTGGAGATGACGAAAACAGTGAGCAGTGATATGATGAGGGCATTGACGATGTCGCTGGACGTTTGGACTGTAGAAAAGCTAAAGTCGGGCGTGGCATTCAACTCCTGGAGGAGAGTCATAGCTGCGAGACGGAGAGGCGAACGAGAAGGATGGATTAAAACCTGGGGAGGAGGAAGTGGATGGTTAAAAAGTGTTGTCTTTATGTTCGAAACAGAGGGCGGTTGGAAATGTGAAGCAAGGAAGTGCGGTTTGTTGGAGAGATATGGACAGCTTGCCCGGGGGCATGAGGAGGGACAAAACTCGTACGGGCGCGGTGTGGGAGAGCGGTCCTCTTACTGCTGTTGTGCATTAACTCTGGGACAGCTTGCTAACATAGAGTCTGAACACGGCAACAATGCGCCGCTCTCATGTAATTGCGTAGTCGCAGGTGTGTATGACGGCCGTCGGCCAAACAAGGAGACTCGAGATCTCTTCGGAATGTCCAGCATGGACGTCTGGGCACTCGAGATCTCTTCTGAATGTCCAGCATGGACGCCTGGGCGTATGTACAGCGCGTCATGCGTGTACTATAGTACCACAGGTTCGACATCATCGTTGCCGTGGCCGATTGTGCGAACGTGCACATATCTTGCCACCATTGGCCAACAACCGAGCAACTGGAAACCGGCATTTAGCGATAAATTCTGCTCCGTTAAATACGTTGAAAAGCCAATCAGTCAGAGGTGCTTAGAGCATCCCCACCGGCATGAGCAAAGAGTTAAAAGGTAAAATTTTAGCTTTTACACCCTGGTGAATCCGCTCCACCGGGGAGTCAAAAGGTAAAATTATTTAGCCCGGGGGTATTTCCAGGGTGCAAATCGGTCGGTTTTACACCTCGAAAATAGCCCAGAGCCAAAAGTCCACGACACAAGTGCGAAGCAGTTATTGGTTTCTGGTCGCGGGAATCTGCTCGTACAGTACTTCCCGTTCTCCTACATGTTTCACTCGCGTATTGCTGCGCTTCCCTCTCCAACCTGCGCCTCTCCTGCATCGATCGCAAGGTACATGCGATCTTGCCCAACCACCACCCTGTTTATGCGCTCCCTTTCGCACACCGCTCTCCCAGGTGCAGAACATGCTCTCACCAACCCACCCAATCATTGCCTCTTCCATCTCGAGCCTCGTTCCCATCACAATAATGGCCGGCACAGAGCAGCTGAAATCCAGAGGATTTAACTATTCCTCCAATGAAGACTGCTCCATTTGAGTGCGTCTCTGCATTTAGCTCTGGCAACACCGGTGGAGTGTGTTGATGTCGGAGCTAAAAATGCCAAATGTGAACAAATGCACCTGGGCATGCGCACCAGTATTTGAATGACAAGTGTTGGAAATATTTAGCTCTTTGCTCATTCACTCTCCAACCGGTGGGGATGCTCTTACAGATATACACTACAGTATGTGTACACGTGTGCATGCCACATTACAAGTTTTCATGTCTGCTTTACACCCGATCATCACGACTTACAGCATCGCTCCAACTTGAACGTTGCTGTGGCAATGGGTTGACCACTTGAACAGTTGTTTGGCACAAGACCCCGCCAAAGCCCATAAATGAAAAGACCCGGTAAGATGGAAGAGTGTTCGTGGGACTGTGTGGGTGAAGAAAAGACTCGTACATCGATGCCGATTCTCTATGAGTGACTGCCTTTTCCGCTCCACTAAATTCTCAGCCCGAGACATGGGAAGCACCCGTGCCCATGTTCCGAGCAATACTCGGAGCAACCATTATTGTGCTTTCGCGCTCTGAGGAGAAGTCAGTGGGAAATCGTTTTCTGTTGACGCAGAGATATAGCATGCCCAATCTCTCAATGACCACGACGTGCTATGCACCTACAATGTACTCGTACGGCAGTCTGCTCTCGCACAGCAGTCTGCGCTGTAACCTACCTCACAATAATGTACCAATCCTTCTTTTAAAGGACGGCCCGTGATATTTACTTGAACAGTGATGAATGTGTCGATCAAGTGAGGGACGCTGGGTGCAGTATACAGTGAATCCTCGCTAACTGCATGCTCGATTTGTGCATATTCTCGATATCTGCATGCGTTCGTCAGCTACCAGCTGCGGAGTGGCGAATCCAGCTTGCATATGACACTGGACTGCATACCGCATAACTGCATCAAGAAAGTGATCCTCAATCATATCGAACCCTCATACAGAGGCAACCTATGAAACAAATAAAAACGTATGACAACAAATATGCAGTGATTCGCCATCGCCGTCGCACTGCAAATTCAACACCGGCGGTGGACTGCAAAGTCAACACCAGCGGCGGCACGCAGAATTTAGGCCGTAGGACAGAGGCATTAGGCTACAGTCCAACTTCACTTTACTGTGAAACATCGCAACACCATGGTTTATAGGCACACGCTCTCCCAGTTGCCTCACAATCGTCCTCAACCACCAAACCAAAACAACATGGACTCCCATACACGACGCACCTCACTCACAGTCGTCCAGAAACAGAAAGTAATAGACGAGCGGGTGCGTCGAATTTCTGCAGGTGAATCATTTGACCAAGAAGCGCTCGCACAGTGGGCCTACGACAAATTCCACCTCCTCCGTAAGCCGAACGAATCTACCATCTCTCGCATTATCAAAAATGCAACTCACCCGTCCCTCTTTCCTTCAGCAATCCACACGCGCTACACTTATGGCAATTGTAGAGAGTTGGAAGCAGCATTACATTCCTGGATCAATGCTCAATTTCGCGCACGGCGCTGTGTGAATGGAAGTTTAATTATAGGGAAGGCAAGGAGGTTACAGCATCTCATGAACTTGTCCCTTCCGCCGCAGAAACAAACCAAGCTTATGTTTAGCTCAGGCTGGTTGACCCGTTTCCAGAAACGGTGGAACCTTAAATCCATCAAGTCTCATGGCAAATCGGGAGATGCAGACCAGGCTGCAATTGATCGTCAAATGCCCTTGCTACGCAGTAAAATTCAGTTTTATAAACACTGTGATGTTTTCAATTCGGACGAGTTTGGCCACTTCTATGGCATGGCACCAGATCCCACGATAGCGAGTGAAAGGTTACCTGGTCGAAAAGGCGAGAAATTCCGCTTGACTTACCTGGCATGCTGTAACGCGGATGTATGGGAGCGCCTTCCACTGATGTTTATTGGAAAAGAAAAGAAGCCTCGGTGTTTTAAGAAACATGAAGGACAGCAGCTGGGGTTTGACTATCACGCAAACAAAAAAGCGTGGATGACGAGCGCTTTACATGGATTCTACGTTTTTCTTCATAAATTTCTCGTTCCAGTCCATCCCGAAAAGTGCTACTTCTACTCGACAATTGTTCAGCTCATGGTACAGAGGAAACTCTGCCACTACTCGATAACGTGGAGATTGTTTTTTTTGCCGCCGAACACTACGTCTAAACTGCAACCGTTAGACGCAGGCATTATCGCTGCACTGAAGGTACGATATCGGAAGTGGCAGTACGAGAGAGGGCTGGATTATATGGATGCTAAGGTGGAAAATATATATAAAGTCGATCAGTTGACTTCTATGAAGGCGATGAGACGAATGTGGGACGACATTCCAGCCTCAGTTTTGAAGAATTGCTGGTAACACACGGGTTTAGTGATGGGAACTGAAGAGGTGCAAAGTGTTGAAGATAGTACAGTGGCAGAGGTATTGGCTGCATTGTCCGAACTCCTCGCACCTCAGACACAGATGGATATTGATTTTATAACAAATCCTGGGGATGAGAACAATGTTTTAGAGGAAGCCGATGACACAACTCTTGTGTCGGAGGCAGTGCCGGCGATGACAGAAGGGGAAGTTGAAAGCGAGGAAAGTGATGCAGAGACTGCATCATACTTGGAGGGGGTCGGATATGAAGAGCGCTTGAGGTGTATTGTTGTAGTGCGCCACCTTCTTGAGAGCGCGGACTTTGCAGACCCGCTAGTCTTGGGCTCTCTGCGCACCTTGCAGCGTGATGTAAAACTCCAGCAGGCCAAGTCAGCACGGCAGACCCGCATATCTGAATTTTTTGAATAAAAATGAGGCGTTTACTGATGTTCCATAGATGCCCAATATATGGACATTTTCGACAAGTGCATATGTTCGCCAATTGCATACGTAAGCCGTCCACTTTTCATATGCAGTTAGCGAGGATTCACTGTAGTGTACCGTGCAACCGGCGCGCGCCCCAGAGCCTGAGCTGCGGGTCATCCCCAACGCGCAGAGGCGCTCGCGTCGTCCTGCGAGGCGGCGCCCAGCGAGCTACCGGCGCGGTATGGGTCGCAGTCTGGCATCTCCAGCGTCTGGTTGCTCATTGGTGGCGCCCTTTTGGGAGACGTCTGCCACAAGGGTTTTCTAT